AAATCAAGAGCTTCTGAGCACCCGCCAGGCCAATCAAAGCTGATGGCAGCTCTGGGTGCTTGACCAAGCTGAAAACTCAACCCTAAGGTGCATTGTGTTGGGCAGCCCAAAACCGGAAACACCTGAAATATTGGCCGCTTCTTGCCTCAGTTTCCACGATGGCAGCAAACAGTTTTATAAAGCACTTTAGATTGCTGGCTGAGATGCTGTCTAGAGGTGCAGAGCCCCAGTGTGTCTAATCTAAAAAGGGGAAAAAGTGTCCAAGCAGCAGAGTATTTGGGGCCTGATGTTAGTTCACACCAAAGCCCCTTTATGGCACACTGGCAGTGTAAAGGGGTCTTCTGGGGGGCAGTACTGTAATTTCCCACAGTTTAAGGCCCCTTTACTCTGCTGGGGTGCTCCAAAGGGATTTCAGACTAAAGCAGCATCAGGCCCTTTCTGTTTATTTGTATCTTGCGCTGTTTATTGTTTTTCTTAAAGTCTCAACTCTTGGAGTCCCGTGATTACGCAAGAAACAGCTTTCATTGAAAAACGTACATTTCTAGCCTTCATGGTGCAGAGAGACAAGTGTGAAAATGTGACCACAGGAGACTCCAAAGGGTCAAACCCCAGAAGGCAAATAGGGCACAACTTTTATTCCTTGGGTTTAAAAGGTCATGATTTTTAACCATCTCATGATTTCTGGGGCCCCAACTCATGATTTTTGAAGACGTGGGGTTGCGAACACTGCGAGGTAACTGGAGTACAAGAACCAAAATATCCATCCCACCCTCGAGTGTTTATTCTTGTGTCCACAGACTCATCCTTTCCACTATAAAAGAAAGTTTCTATTACAGCCCACGGGATGTGCAGCTTTCATTTGGCTCCTTGTCCACTCCTCATGCTAGAGAGCAGCGCCTTGCTCCTCCCCAGAGCTGTAGCATGAAAACCTGGGTTAAAAAAAAATATCTGCTGCCAACTTTCAGTGAAACAGGCCAGCTTTGCGCTGTACATGGGGGACTCTTGCACATTCTACAGCAAGCAAAAGTAAACTGAAAGGGAGTCTCGCTCACTCTTTTCTGCTGGGTCATCCTGTCGAACGTGGCATGAGCTGTTATTGCAAAGCGGAGGTCGCTCGACTTAGTGTCCCCTGGCAAAGCGGACAGGAATCTCTCCTTGCGCACCCCGTGAAGCGTCACTCAGACATTTGGGGAGCAGATTCCTGAGGCTGGTCAAGCGCTCTGTGTATGTTCCAATGCATTCCCTTCCCCAGCCCCCGAGCTGTGCACAGCCGCTGAGGCTGTATAAATATGGTTTGAGGGATTTAATGAAGGGCACAAAGCTTTTTCATGCTCGCGCTGTCAGGGCCCCTTTTTATCCATTAGATCATATCTGGGTCAAAGAGCACATAAGGATGGGAAGCCCTCACTGTCACACAAAGCCTATTCAGCAGGGTCGCTATTCACTCACCTCTTCTCACCCATATCCATGGGGCACATGACCCACCCTGAGCACCTAAGCCTCTGCTTTGATGTCATTTAGCAGAAAACTGCTATTAAATGTTGTTTGAAAGATGGAAATCTTGCTGCCCTCCCATCTGTCAAGAGAAAGCTTAGACGAGGCCTGCTCAGGCCGGGTGCGTGCATTGGAGATACGCACTCAGCATGTTGTGAGGGGCAGCAGAGAAAGCGGAGCAAGGGCTGGGGGGTTTGCGAAAGAAAAACATTCCCCTCCCTCCCCCTATATAAGCAGGCGCTTGCCCTTTCAGAGAGACGAACAAGTTTGCTTTGCCCAACTTCCAGCACTAGAGAGACCACGAAGGGGCCACGATATCAGAGGCGATGAGGTGTCAGCAGTGACAGCTCTCAGGGATGTAGCCACTCAAACAAGCAGCAGCAATTCCAGCGCATGGACCCAGGACACCAGCTGTGTTAGGAGGGGAGGAGCCTTGTTTGTGATGAAACTCGCTGGCTTCCCCCGCACAACCCTGGCCTACAAAGCTGAGCTCCCAGGGGCCAGATAAAGAAAGTATAGATATTTTGTAATGGTTCTTCACCTTCATTTGCAAGGGAGGAGGGGCGGTGAGGACTTCATGAGCTGCGAAAGTTTAGCAGGTTCTTTTCCTCCTCCTCACCAACATTTCCCGCAATGCAGCTGGGCTTCTGCCGAGGAGACAGGTTAGCACCCACCCCACCGCCCTTGAGCCCTGTGGAAGGCTGATATGGAGCAAAAGGAGAGGGAAATCGAGTCAGACTGTGAGCTCGTTGGGGCAGGAGGCATCAGTTATCTGTTCCGGCAGTGCCTGGCCCAATGGAAGCTGGAGCTGGCTGAAGCTTCTAGCTGCACATGATACATAAGTGATGATCAAGAACATTAGAGCAGAAGGCCTCTATTGTTTCCGTGCAGTGTCAAGGACTGTGCAATAAGCACAGCAGTGCTCCAATTTTAATTGCCATTATAATGTAACCGTCTAGTTAGAGGGAAGGCATTTGATCAGAGAATAACCCGCCAACTCTGTTTTACTTTAAGTTAAAACCATAGTGATTTCAATCACAATTTGATTCTCGTTATCTGACCTGGCTGAATGGCCAAGGTATCCCAGTCCCCTATGGTTTGAACAGTAGCCCCCCTCTGTGGTAAGCAATCTTATCTCCAACTGCAGGGCCTGCTTCCATAGCAATGGGGACAAGACTTTCAACAGTGACCAGCGCTTTATGGTACCCATCTTGAAACACAGCAGCGAGTGCTCAGAACATTGGGAAAAACCAGGCCCTTTTAAAAGGTGTCTCATATTGGGCAGTCAAAATAAATAAATAAATAAATAAATAAAAAAATAAAAAAATGGAGGCTCCCAAAATCATTAGCAGCTCTGGAAAATCTATGCCTTTATGCTGTGTGAGAGACTCAGTTTCTCCACCCATGAAATGGGAGGAAGAAATATGACGTGGCCATGCGCATGGCAGTGCAGAGAGCATATTGGTGATGAGACCTAAGTATTATTTCTCTAATTGAGCTGTCTTGAAATGATTCATGGTGATTATTACGTCGGAAACACTTTGTGTCAGGGAAGAGCGGTTGAGGTCAGTCACATTAGCTCACAGCTATTTCAAGGCAGTCCCTCTCCCCCAAACCGCCAGAGACAAGAAGGGCAACTGCAAACCATCCTTGTTTATTTTAGAAGCCACAGAGCCTGTTAAAATGGGAGCCAGCAGGAGTCCAGCTGCCAACTTCAGCTCTGTTTGAGGCTGACATCTGCTGGTATAAAAAAAAAAGCAAAAATCTCTCCAGTGCTCTCTGAAAGGTGAAGGCCATTTGTATGGAAATAGCATCAGCCTTCCAATCCAGTCCCCTTATTTCAGTCCTGTTCAATGGGGATCAGGTAAGGTTTTAGCTCCTTCGATGGATTTCTCCTTTTCCTGGCCAGAGAAACACCTGAACAAAGAATAGAAGGAGGAGGCGGCAGGCAGAGACGACTGAATTAACTTTATTATTTTTTTTTCTAACTGCAGATTCAAGGTATACAACTGAACATTGCTATTTTTCTTATGAGACTTATAAATAAAAATACAAAAAATGTTCACTACAAAAAAATCTACTGTTAGTAGGATGTAAAAAATATTCTCTTTGCTATAGAAGGCACGAACTTCACTTAGTGACACATGGAGAGAAAAAAAACCTGCAGCAGTAAATTCTTTTTTTTTCTTTTTTTCTTTTCCTCTGTCAGAAACACTGAAGTTTTACAAAGAAATGCATCTGAATCTACACAGAACGAAGGCAGATGCGGAGAGCTGCAACTAGGAGACATCACAATTTGGGAAATTTTTTTTTCCTTTTTAAATTTTTAGCTAACTGCATCTGTGGCTAGAGAACGGACTCGCAAGCAGTGCTGCAAAAGAAATGAACAGAACGAGAAAACAAACAGAAGATTTGTACAAAAAATAGTAACCAATAATCTGAAAAAAAAAACAAACAAAAATTGGGCACCTTCTAAAATTAGGCTAACAGGAGGTGCTGAGGTAGACAGAACTATAACATCAATTAATTAAAAACACTATTTTTAATACAGAGCGATCAGACTGGCACTTGTGCTGTCACGACATAAAAGACAAGCAATGAAAACAAGCCTTCGTTTGCTTGGTCCAGCAGGGCAGTTGGTCCTCAGTGCTATAATATACATATATATAATTATATATATATATGGATAGATGTCATGGAGCTTTACCATGGCTTCTTAGCCTTAAAAGATCATGCATACATAACACTATGTGAAACAAATACTATGATGCACACCGAAAGGTTGGTACTCAGTGTGGAAGGATGTCATGGGACCAGAGACTTCTCATCAGCCACATTCATTGGAATGATATTTCAAAGCTGTGTGTTGGAGGTGAATTTGCTGCCTTTTTTTTGTCAACCCTCTTTTCTGTCCTATGGGTTAAAGCAGTCTTGGAATGACACCCACAGAAGCAGATGTCCCAGTGAGGGGGATGAGGGGGGGAGGGACAAGGGGAGACCAATGAGATGTAAGTGGAGTGAAAAGTAATCAAGTGTTCTCATCTTGTCTGATGAGTTTTTACTCAACAAAAGTTCTGGTCTTTAAATTTAAAACATCCCTGATTTTGAAATTTTTGGGTCTGGTAGGAAACAAACTTCAGTTTGCACAGTGCCAGGTGGTGCAGCCAAAATGTGCTAACACCTGAGGGGGGGGCGAGGAGGAAGAGAGGGTCTTCCAATGGAAAATAAATTGTGTTGGAAAATTAGTTGTTTGCTCCATTGTACCATGACATCCCCCCAGCCAGCAGTACCAATTTACTGCAAAAAGGTACCATATACTTGTGAGAAATCGCAGCAATTTTTTTTTCTTTTAAATGTGAAAAACTGTTTTCAGGCACAAAGATTAAACAAGCCATTCTCCAGAGTTACAACCTGGATTGTACTAAATCAGCATCTGTTCTGCTTCCCATTCCCAACACAAAGCAGCAAAGATATTATCAATCCTGTGTGTGTGTGTGTGTGTGTGTGTGTGTGCGCGCACGCGCACATGCATGTATGCTTTAATATATATATGTATTGTATATATAATGCATAAAAAGGATCTTCATGGTGTGAATTGAGAGACAACACTAATTTTATTCCCAAAACACCACCAGACACAGCCAGGTATAAGTTCAAAATGGATGATATGAACAGAGTAAGGTGTGCGCGTATAGCCAGCTTTCTGCTTTGCATTTGGAGAAGTTTGGAAAGAACTGTTTAAGGCAGTTGCAATTCTAATTCACAAAGAGTGCTATATACTGTGATAAGCGGTGCTCAAAATGGTAACTGACTATCTAAAACGGAAATTACTGACCTGGCCAACAGAGCAAAGAAGTGATGCTGCTCTGAAGATAAAACTGCACACAATATTTCCCCTGTTCCCCCTGCCCGCCCCGTAAGATTGTGCTCTCTAATGGAAGGGGGGAGAACGGAGCTAGATTCACCCTAAATTCCAGACCTGTTCGTGTGTGCCTGAGGTCCATGTGAAGTCTGTCACCCTGTCTACTTCCGTATGTGTTTGTGCCCCTGACGCATCTGAACTGCCTTCACATATCCTCTAACATTCAACAGCAAATAATATTTTTTAGATTGGCGGGTTGAGGAAGAATTTGCTTCTCTGCAGTTAACAGTAAATACAAATGATGGTTGCCGAGGAGTAATGTAACTCCAAACAATAAAAAGAAATTACTGTTAAGTCATCAATACCTACAGTACTGCCTGTTCCCCACTCTACCTCAAGCCTCTGTTAGCAGATGTAGGAAATCTGCATTTGACATGCACGTTTGCATACATTTCCTGCATGTGATTTTGAAGTTGCAATATTTTGATTTAGTACCATCCAAGGCTGCAACACTGGATTACAACAATACTGCATGATTCAATACACAACCACACGCACAAAAAGCATACACACACGCATACGCACGCACACACAATTCCTGTTCACATTACAAAAGGAAGGGCAAGGTCCTGTGGAAACTGACACAGGGACTAACAAATATTACAAAAATATTACACTTTGTAAATATCAGTTCAACCCTTTCAGCTTGGTGAATGGGGGACGGGGTGGATGTGAAGAACGGGTTCATTTTGTGGAATACCTTAAACATTTTTGACATCAGGTTCAGTTTTGAGACGGAGATCATCTCATGGCCATCGCTGGCTAACGCAAAATTGATGCGTTAGTGCATATTTATTTATCCAAGTTCTGCCCTAAGTGATTTTATACTCACATTTTTCACATTATAAACAAGACTCTACTGTTCTATTCACATATTCAAGTTTAACTCTTTCCTTTTCAAAGCACTAAATCTTCACTAAACGGTAAGTTACCCTGCTCCACTGTCACATGAAGTTATTTCCCCCAGTTTTAAGGCCTTCAAATTTTTCCCGACAGTTGAGACAAGGTTGGGGGTAGGGTGGGCACAGCAGTATAACACCCCTCATTTTTTTCCCTTTACTTCCATCTACAAAACGCTTCCCTAACTTTTTTTTTGTTTAATATAAATGCAGCTAAGTTACAAAATAATATACAATTGCAAGTAAAGCATGAGATGAAAATTGAAATGACATCACAAAGCGAACACAAATATTGCAAAATGTGCTTTCATAACTGCAAAATAAAATCAAAAACCAAACATAAGAGGTAGCTTTCAGAATCAACGACCCCAGCTCTGTCAAGGCAGGCCGTTAAAAAAAATACCAATTTTGGTAATGATAATGCACAAAAACCACCGTAAAATTACTTTTGCGGCTGTTGTGGCACTTTTGCACTCACCGAGCATGCGATTCTTACACCGCATGTCACCGATCTGCGGCATGGCCTTTTAAACAACCCATCCATTTAACAAAACAAAAACCTCCAACCCAGCAATAAAAGCTCATGAGGTCACAAAAAACCGAGGTAATTTCAAGTAAAATGTGCTAAACAGAAATATTCAAAATTAAAACAAAAACGAAAACCCCCAAAGCCAAACACAAAGAAAAGCCGTCTTTTACCATTCACTCCTTCATAGCTTCCTGGACAGAGGGCTGAGCAAAAAAATTAATTGGTATGTTTCTGTTATGAAACATGGAAAACAAAACCAAAAACAAACGCATCTCCCGCTTCAGAGCAAAGCTCTTGCAGCCAGACGGGATGGTTTCTAAAGGACTCTTACTTTAAAAAAGAAGAGCACTGTTGAATTGCAAGGCGTAGCATAAGCGGAGACACAAAAGTGAGCTACATACAAAATCCATCACCTGAACTTGTGAATTACTCCCCAATCCTCAAATCTCTGACAAATTTAGGCCAAACTGACAGGTTAGCATTTAACCAGCCTGAGTCACTGTAACGCATTGCAAGCCAGGGGGATATATTGCATGTGTCTGCAGGAGGAGGGAATACAAGCTCACCCATCATTCCTTCAGACCCCTGGCAATACCCAGGCACCAGGGGGCAGTTTAAGAGCATCTTGAACTGTGACTCCCTCATCTGAAGACACACTTGTCCAACCACTGGGATTTGACAAACAGGCTGGAAGTTTTTGCCCTTTTGATCTGGTTCTAATTCCCTCCCCTCAAAAAAAAAAAAATGCATAGAAAGGTCTTTGGTCAGGAGAGAGGGTTGCAGCCTAGAGGCAATTTTTGCAGCCAAGTTCTAAGCTCTTGAACAGACTGGCTTTGGCCCAAAATACCCAAGTAGCTTTTATTATAGCGGGACAACCACCAGCACCAACGGACTTGGCCATAAGAGGAGTAGTGACATTGATCAAAACATCCAGGGCAACTTTCTGTGCATGAACGAGAGGTTCAACAGCTGTCAGTTTCTGATCGTTCCAAGTGGTAACGTAACAAGAACTTTGCTAACTGAGGAGTCTGATTGAGGGGGGCACTCTGAAGGCATGCTCCATACTAGGTTGAGAAGTCACCCTACCTGTCCTATCCTAGTCTAACTCGCCAGCATGCTCCTGACACCCTGCACTAAGAGGCATGCAAGCAATCTGAAGCTCACTTAGTTTCCATCGTCAGATTTATTTTAACAGTTTCCTTCAAATTGAATTTTTATTCAAATTCATTTTCTCCAAAACCGTTTGTTTTCAGATTTTATTAATAAACTGAAATTTTTTCAGGAAACTATCTGCCATCTGAAACACAGCAGCCCAGGGGCGGGGGGAGAAACTAGCAAAGTTCATGTTTATTTTACTTATGCCCAAGCAGGCACAACATGGGCCGGGGGACAGCCTTCCCTTGGCTGGATCTGAGGAGAGACCCAGCTACGGCCACCCATGCTCCAGATAGCAGTTCAGGGTGGCCCAGCGGCCAGGGACTTGCCACGCACCCAGGAGGTAATGGGTGGGGTGCCCAACGGGGGAACCCCGGCCAGAGTCCTGGTGCTGCTGGCTGGGAGGGGAGGCCCCAGCATTTCCCGAGCAGGGAGGGAGGAAGGGGGCTGCAGCCTTGATGCCAGGGCTTTTCACAGGGAATGGGGGCACTGGATGCCCACGGGGCTGCATGGTACCTCCCCACCCTGTGCTGCCTGTGATGCACCCTGCCCTGGCACTGGGTGCCCAGGCGTCGCACATCCCACTACTTCCTCCCCTGGCTGCAGCCCCACAAACTTGCCTGTTGCTGGCTCTGTTCTCTGAGAGCCACACCCCAAGCTGAGCCATGCTGCGCCCATGGGCACCTACAGCCCACCGTCTTCTCCACCTGGGACCGATTCCGGCTCCGAAGGGGTCGTCTCCCTGGGCCCCCTCCTGAGGAAAATTCCGGTTGTGCCTTTACTTACGCCAAGCTGTGCCAGACTGACTAGTGATTCCGGCTGCCCGGCTGGAGTCACCGACGAGGGTGATCAGCATGTTCTGAAATTCAGGGCGTCTCAAGTCAGGCAGGCAAAAAAATGCAAGGCTCCCCAAATCACTAGTTACTTGGGGAAATCTTGACTGCAATGTGACCTGCCACATTATTAGCACGACCAACAAACCTCCAGAGCATCCAGCCCGTCATGCTGCGCATCATCTGCCCTGGTATTTCTGGGTACCCCAAAAACAGGGACGTTCGATCTAATTTGGGGGGAAAACCTCTGAAGGGGGATTTTAACAATAGGCATTACACTGCCACCTACTGGTGAGGTTGCACGAGAAGGCAGCTGAATAAAGCTGGTGACTGAGGGCATGTCTGACATTACAGCCGCTACAGCAGCAGAAGGGGTTTTTCTGTTGCCGTAGTTAATCCATCCCTCCAACAGGCGGGTCGATGGAAGAATTCGGTCAGCCTAGCCACATCCACACCAGGGGCTAGGTCACCCTAACTACAACATTCAGGGTACAAAATGTTTCACAGCCCTAAGCAATGTCGCTAGGCTGCCCTCATTTTTAAATGTAGCTGAGGCCTGAGTAAATTAAACAAATGTGGCAAAAACGGGACAAAAAAAAAATTCCAACCCAAAAATCTCAGACCCCAAAGCTTGCGCTGGGACTGCCCCTTCCCCTCCCACACAGTGACATTTCACCTGCTCTTTCCAAAGCCCTTGACGTGCGTCGTCACAAAACATGAGCAGATATTTGGCTATGGCTCGATTCTGATGCGTTTTCTCATCGACTGCACAGAGAACCCCAAAATTAAAAAGGGAATTATTCCCCCTCCCCCACACAAACACCTCACGAGCCAGAAACAAAAACCGAGAATCCCTTTAGTAAACAATAACAGAATAAAAGGCCATGGATGATGCATTTTTTTGCCCAGTCCTTCATGACTTAAATCTTCCCCCTCCATGTCCCTTAAACATAGCAAAGGTAGAGATAGGTCTTCTCTATCCTCCAGTCAGTGGGGATCTCCTCTGGCTTGTGGCCCTTCATGTGTTTCTGCATGGCAGACAGGCTGGGGCAGTATTCCAGGCAGATAGTGCACTGGTAGGGGGAAGCGCCGTTGTGGGTCCTGAGATGTTTGATCATGGCGGAGTAATCTCGGGACCTCTGGTGACACAGCTTGCATTCAAAAGGCTTTTCACCTGCAGGGGCAATAAGGGGAGAGAGACAAAAGAAGGGTGAGGCGGCGACCACGCTGACATGTCTGTGGTACTTACGCAGCTGCCCAGCCCTGCAGTATCTGGGCGCCTCGCAGTCTTCAAGGGGTTTATCCTCACCATGCCCCTGTGAGGTGGCGACCCATTGTGCAGCCAGAGAGCTGAAGCACAAAGAGGTTAAATAACTCTCTGTAAAGCAGAGAATCAAACCTGGGTCTCCCACATTTCAGGCCCAGTGCCCTAAATGCTGGGCCATCCTTCCTCATTATGGCCTTGGGATGTGGGGAAGGAAGGAAAGGTAAGGTGATTTTCAGGCATAACAGGGCATTAGAGGCTGTTGCCTAGAGGACAAAACACTGGATTCGAGACTCAAGAGAGCTGGGTTTTAGTCCCAGCTCTTCCGCCGGTTTGCTGTGTGACTTTCCCTTCTCCATGCCTCAGTCCCCCTTCTGTGTAGTGGGGATAATGATGCCCATCTCCTTTGTGAAGCACTTTGAGATCTATGGGTGAAAAATTCTATATAACCTCTAGTTATATATTTTGTAGCGGTCTCCACTGAATATTTTAAAATCAACCTGAGTGTGGTGGGCATTATGACCCAGTGCACTATTAGCCTGGGGAATCCATTGTCACAAGATATCATGTTTAGCAGGATCAAAAAAAGATTGGGCCTTTACATGAAAAAAAATTGAGACTATGCAGAGTTACAATAGTGAAAGGTTAAAAAAAAAAAAAAAGACAGCAAAAGTTTTGGGAGAGCTAAACCCTGCTCAGGGCATGAGCCCAACTCTGACTAATAGGGGTCAGACGGAAACTTCTCCCAGGGGCAAGTTATCCCATCACTGCAGTATTTCTTGCACCTTTCTCACAAGTAGCTGGAGCCGGGCACTGTTGGGGACAGGATGCTGGTTAGATGGACTTGGGTCTGATCGAGTCTGGTAACTGCTATGTTTCCCAATACTACCCAGAAGCTGGGTCCCTGATCTCTGCTCCAGTTGAGTTGCCCATATTTTTGGGTTATTGAATCTCAACAGAAGCCTTTGAATCATTTTGATAACATATGAGGCTGGAGCTGAGATTTCAGGGACTCGTTTCAATGCAGTAATTAACTGCCTGGCCTTTCTGATATTGATACTTGCGCTGTGCACAGACACAGCGAATAATGAAGTAATGAACAGCAAAAGTGATCTAAATATTGATCCACTATTTACAATAGTTACATGCTGACGCATGCAGTGATTCATTACCCCCAGCAACAAGCCTGGATTCCTAAGGAACTGTAGCAGCCTTTCTACAGCAAGCGCCCAGGATTCAGGCAGCTTTGGATGTGGGAAGTAATGAAGTATTTAACGGACGAATATGACCATAATGCGGGATGAAAACACAAAGGAGAAAACTCTCTAGTGCCTCCCAGACTTGCAGCTGCCCCGAAACGACAAGGTAGCAATGAGTTACACAGGGAACCTGAACACTGGGGTTAGGTGTGACATGGTACTTCGGCCGCATTTGCAGCTATCATTAGATCTAGTAATAGGGACCTTGTTTTAGCCACTCCTAGCACCTATCACTGCCCTATGTGGCAGGAGAGCCACATCCCCGTGTAGGAATGGAAGTGAGGCTGGCTCTGCTGAAGATTGGGGTCTCTCCTGCACCTTCCAGTGGCTAGAGAGTCGGAGGCACTGTAAGTCTAGGGCTGGATTTCTAAGGTGCTGAACTCCCGCAGGAATAGACGTCCTGCTAACGTGGGCAAGGGACTGGGACCCTAGGACTTTTCTCCCCCGACTCCTGCTGCTCACATGCACAAGCCGCTTTATTGCGATAAACGACCCCAAACGTCCTGCCAGGATCCTTCAGGCAAGAGCTGGGGAAAGCAGAGGAAGAGTTGCGAGTGGAGTAGCTGTCCAGCCACAGTCACCACACGCTGCAATGACCGAGGAAAGGTCTGCGCTCCCTCTTCAACTCTTTCTGAGCCTGCCACGCAGACGGCAGATGGTAGGTGGGCACCATTTGACGGCTTGGGGATTTCAGCCAGGTCAGCTCCCGCATCTAGTAAAAGCAGGAAGAGGGAGCAGCACTGCTTAGCTCTCTTTATTATCTCTCCAGAGAGAGATGAGGGTAATTGTTACTAATCGGCCCTAATCATTTCAGTATGACAAGGACTCTGGCCTATTCCTTCCCAGCCTGCCCATGACGCCTGCAGGTGCCTTGCAGAGCTTTCGTTTGGCTGGCAAAGGGGAAGGATTAAATTTTGAAAAGGGGCTGGTGGCTCAGGGCGCGGGGGGATGGAGATGGGAGAGGCAGCCATGAAGTAAAAGTAAAGTGGAAAGTCTCAAGCGTATTTTCATCTGTCCCAACTTTATACTGCTGTCACACCCCTCAGCTGTCAAATGCCCAGGCAAGACGTAGTTCTTTCCACATCACCTTTTATCTCAAAGGATCCTGAATTGATACCTAAAACTAGACCCAGGCATCACAGCATCCTGTCCTGGGCTGGGGCCCAGCAGCTGTTTAACAGTGCACATGGCAGGGCAGGAAGTGAAGATACTGTATTCGACAGAAACTGCAGGAGGAGCTTAGGGAAACAGTGCAATTACCAGCGTAGAACTTGCTGAGGACACAGGAATTAATGCCCCGAATCTTGGGCAGAAAACCGTGGTTAAATAACTGGTTTGAAAGCTGGATGCTTTCAGCAGCGTGACATCCCATCCCACCACATGTGGGCAGCAGTTCGATACCAGCTCAAGGGAAGAATGCTCCCTCGCGAACCCCTCACTGTGACCCGAGCTCTGACACTGAACCGGCCCAGCCCTGTTTAGCTTGTGAAGTCTAAGGGGATCACAGTCCACGGTGGCGCGGCTGCAGGAGCGGCTCACTCACGTGCTGCTAAGGCAGCTGCAGACGCGTGGCAGCGGGACGGTACCTGTGTGCACCCTGTAGTGGGTCTCCAGCTGGTGCTTGAGGCTGAATTTCTTGCCGCAGCCGTTGCACTCGTACGGTTTCTCTCCAGTGTGGATACGCTTGTGGCCTTTCAACGTGCTCTCATCCCGGAAGCAGCTGCCACAGAATTCACACTCGTAGGGGTGGTCACCTGGAACGACACGAGCACGCGGTTAGATGCAGTGGGGAACACGGCACAGCACTACGCAGACCCCGCAGCCTGCACCAGCAGAACCCTCTCTCTACTGCCCCCACCTCTCGAAAAGCCATCTGCGAGGTCTTAATTCCCCCCCACCATCACCAAAGAAGGTCAAGGGGAAGGAATAGACAGTGGTCACTTCACACCCCCATGACATGCAGCTGGCTCCGGGGTGCAACGCAACAGATGCCTAGCAACGTACAGCACCTTTGGACTAGAAGTGAAGAAGAATCCTCCATCCAGCTGGAAATGCAGGGGGAGTAAGCATCCAAGCTGCAATTTATCCGGAGCAGTGGGGTTACACACATTCTTTTCTAAACTCAACACCCAGATGAAGATACTCAGGATAAGAGGCCACCTAATGAAACTTCAGCGCCACCTCCTGCTGTACGTTATTATTATTTGGCGTTCATTTAGACTCTCTTTTAGTTGTGTTTGTCTAGCGCCTAGCTCCTGGGGTCCTGGCCCATGATGATGGCTCCTAAACCCTACAATAATAGAAATAATACCACCACCACCACCCTAAGGTCCCAGGACCTCACAGTGCCGGGCGCTGCACAAACACAGCAGGGAGAGACCGTTCTTGCCAAGGGGGGGGGGGAAGAGGAGGAGAGTAATGATAAGATCTGGCTGTTACTTAGGCTAACAATGGGAAGGATATGACGACTCCCACTTGTTTGTAATGATTTACTAGTTATTTACCGCCCCTGCTCTGGCTGACTGATTCTTTACAGGTACTGTGGATTTAGGGGGCAGAGGAGGACCAGTTCAGGGAGCAGACCAAAGGGCTGTCCAGTACAGCAGTCTTCCTCTAATCAAACCATGCCCTAACTCTTCCCCTCCCGTCCCCATGTCGGTTCCTCTCATCCCCCGGCCCCCAGAAATGGCCTGTCAAACGGGAATGACAGAATGACGGCCATCCTTCCTGCAGTTCAGCAGGGTGGGAAGGACCCGCTGCCCCGCTGCACACAGGAGACCCTCGACCTCGCTGATTGGGTTGGAGAGATGCTAACGAGGCAAACTGCTTCACCATCTCAGCGCAGCAGGGGGGGAAAAGCTTCGCGGAGCGAGCTGCTTCTGACTGGCTGCGGGGAATAGCGCCATGGCAGAGAAGGTAAAGGCTCTCAGTCACATACAAGCCTGCGAAGAGGTTCGGCTGCTTCCTCAGGCATTGTGCCCCATCAGCAGAGAGGGGAAGCAAATTGGGGAGACAGCCCGCCTCACCTCAACAAGGCTCACTGAGGCATGAGAATTCCAGCAACGGAGAGGTGTGACTGAAGGCCCACCGCTCCCCTGCAGCGGAGGGGTTTGTGGGCTCATTTGTCTGCCAAAGAGGATCATACCCATACTTATATTGGGGAGCAATCACAAGCCATTTCCGTCTCGCTCGCCAGACAAATGCGATTGCACCCCGGGCCAAAAACTTTGGGAGCCGGAGAGGTGTTTAAATATTCCAGATTGGGTGGCTGATAAATGTACTTCAGTGTAGCCCCAAACTCGGAATTATTTGAATGAAAGGTGAGGGCTCTAGCTACTTATTTATTACAGAAGTGAAGGCAAGGACAATAAAGATAGATTGATTGCCCAAGACTTTGTTCATGAATATTTAAATATCACTGATTTGTCTTGTCACTGTAATTACAATTTCTCTGTGCTGCATATCCTACAACCACAGTTTATGGTAAAGAATGGCCAACTGTATTTCACTTGTCCTACTGCAGATGTGCAGAGCTGCCAAGCGTGTAATGTTCCTCGCATTTCATACATTTTCTTCAGCTGCTGAAGGCTTAAGTCATCCACAATGACCTACGTTTTTTCATTATCCCCATGTCAAACTGCACTCGTGCTTGGGCATAAATTGTCCTTCTAGTTATATACTCAGATGCCTGTGCTTTCACTTCCTCTTTAAAATGATATTTCACTCTCTTTTCTCTTTAGACCCTCCAACAAAATCCGCCCCTCCCAAATGAAGACCTTCCTCACATAAATTCTGATTTTACATTAGCGTTTCCAAATCTTTCAGGCAGCACTAAATGGTTTTTTAAAGCATTGTGTATAATAACTCTGATATTTCACATTATTTTCCTATTGCAGGAGACTAGCAGAGAGCTCACAAGGTTTAAATGCATTTGATCCTTAAAAGCCACTACGTACACACAGCTCACGAGAGTGGTTTGAGGCATGGATGGCGGTTTCCCCTGTGACAAGAAAGAAGGGAGAGGGTTTCCCTCTTTGGATGCTTTTTAAACGTTCATTTGTACACAAAAGCTGAGCCCAATCTGGTATAAATCGGGGTAGCTCCACTGAAGTCAAGCTGCATTTATTCTTTGTTCTATGCTGGGCCAGAGCCCTCACTGGTGTCAATGAACCTGGTTCTATCAAAGTCAGTCCATCAACTGAAGCTCTGACAATTCCTGAATTTCTAACACAGAATCAGTATGTTTAACTATGATCACCATCTCTAGATGTGCTGGTACTATGGCAATAGGTTCCATGTATGAATCTATCTAGTAATATAGATTCTTTTTGAAGGGGGGAGAATGGTGAATTTTGAGGTTTAAAAAAATCCATTTATAAAGATGGGGCTCAGCTCTGAAAACATGCAGCCAGAACCTCAGTTGGTGGAAAACAGACATAATTTGCAGATTTACACCAGCTGAGCACCTGACCCATGAGTTTTCTGTGACAGAAGTGGGAAGTATGGGGGCTATTTAAATTTCAGAATTACTGTTTCAGTATTCCATTCTGCGCCTTGCTCAAAAATAAAAGATGCCGGAGTGCTGGCCGGGCCCCTGCAGGAGGACTTCCAGAATTTGCATTTGTTAAATTAATTTTTTAGAAAAATGTGTGAATGGAAACCAGGTGAATAATTCACATTGAGACCCAGCCACTGGCCTGAGTAGAGTTGTTCCCCTCCCCCCCACCGCTGTTTCTTTAGAGCGCCCTGGTACTTTAAATGAAGTGTTAAACTCAGGAGCTAGTTTGACAGGATCTTAGTGAATTTCATTATCAACCTGATCACATGTTAAAGGAGTTTAAATATGGAATCTTGAGAATCAGACCAAATAAAAGGAAAAGGGAAATGCACAGCACCTGGCCTGTAATCCTGACACAGGGAGTTGATCAGACCCACGGCCTTGCAGCGTGCGCAGAACTGGCAGCAGAACTCAAAAAATCCAATTTGTGGCATGTTGATTAACTTTGTAGGGCCCCTTAATGAGCTTGACATTAAGTGCAGGACAAACGGGACTAATTAGAGCCCCCACTGGCCAGCCTTCTGCACCTGTGACCCTGGTTTTATATCGTTACCTGGTGTATTTGTTAGTCTCCTGAACAACCAATCGCAGGGCCATAAAATGCCTTTTCTACACAGCTGAGAGTTTATTATATGATCAGCCGTGTAAATCAGGGATCCATCAATGCCAAGGACTCTGCTGGCCTGTACTACCAAACACAGCTGCTGATACTAAACATGCAGCAATGGTGGCAAATGGGCTAGGAACAACGGAATATTAATGAGGCGAGGCACTGTGTGTGTGTGTGTGTGTGTGTGTGTGTGTGTGTGTGTGTGTACACATACATACGAGAGAGAAAGAGAACACACATACACATAAAAGAGTGTGCACCAGGCTTATGGCAATTCAAGCATTAAATAATTTATTTTTTTGCTCATCTTTAGTAAATAAGAGGTCTGATTTAAAGACAAAAAACCTCCGGGCCAGACACTCAGCTGGCGAAATTGGCATTGTGCTGTTGAAGTTGATGGAATTATGCTGATCGGCACCAGCTAAGGATCTTGCCTTCACCTTTTCCAGCTGGAGTGATGAAGGGAGATTATAGGGACGTTTTTAAAAGGGAAAGAAGTTGGGCTTCCTGATGTTCACAAGAGATGAAGAAAAGGAAGGAAAACAGCAAAAGACATCAATGGCAAAAGACACTGACATAATTCACACTATCTGGAAAATATTGTAAAAAGAGTTCCTAATAAGAGATGTAACAGAGGCTAGCGGCAAAAGACCTCCTGCATCATTATTACAAAAGCATTAAACACCAAGATTGCAACCCATTGAGTAGGTGCTGTACATATGCATTGTAAGAGAGTTCCTGTGCCCAAAGAATTGACATTCTAAGTACCTTAGACCAAGGGTAGGAGAGTGTGTTTGTTAATTATCTCCATTTTACAGGTAGGGAACTGAGGCACCGAGGGATTAGGTCACTTGCATATGATCACATGGGGAGCCTACGGAGGAACTGGTAACAGAATGCAGATCTCCGGAGTCCCAATCCTGAGTGTTAACCAAAAAAATCCACCAATCCTCCTCCAGCACTATTTTCCCATCTCAATACAGGAGTATTCACTGAAAAAGTAGGTCTCCCTGAATGGGACACCGCAGAGATGCTGCTAGATATAGTAAGGGTTGTGTCTATTTAGTTTTCTTTAATTTAGAGTGGGAACCCCACATTCCTAGTATTCACTGTGGCACAGCCGTCTATGTATCTCATGGAGGTTCCAAACCAATGCATGGATTTTCCCCAGCACTCAATGTTTTGGGTGCTAAGGATAAAGTAAGATTGGAATGCTGTTGCCTGATCTTTTTTAACCTTTAAAAAGATGTGTGAACACACTCATATTTAGAGAAAGTGGCCACATTTTACATTAGAAGTACGATTTAAGCATAGAAGAGGTTAACACATGATTAATAGATGTTTTAATCAATGGATAATCAATTATAGATAGTGAGAGTCCAGCAAGTCAGCGGATTTCTTGCTATACCCACGTCTTATAACCATCTAAACACTTTCTACTAATATGCTTATAACCATCTATAGGCTATACTAATGTCTAACATGCTTATATCATCGATTCACCATCCTTTATTAACCCTTTATTAATGTACTCAATTTAAATGTGGCCAAAAACCTTATGCTAAGCTTTCCTACTGGTAAAAGAG